GAATTTGAGGTTGTACGTCAATTTAAAATGTAAATCAGTAAAAGAATGGACAGTTTACCGTCAAGGTTTACAGAACATCATGCACCAAACGTTTGTTCCATGTGGTTAAATACATGATGGAGAGTTTATATGAATGAATTTATAGCAGTCATCAATGGCAATATACATACATTATGTGGATGAGGTTGACCACTTTTCTGGAACAAGACTAAAAATGAGAAATGTATAGAAAAACAAGTTTCTGAAAATGTGAAGAAGATGTTCTTAATACTTTTTGAGACAGAATGTCTTAATGGATGCACTGAAAAAATTAATTTTAATTAGATGAACTTTGATGTTAAAAATTTCATGTACATTATGAGCAAAAATACACATATATTTGTTGGCTTTGGTCACCCTCCCCTCTTTGGTAATAAAATATGTTTTCATTGTACTACAGGGTCTGGGTCATAAATAATGCATTGGGGGTTTTCTTGTAATTGTACCTTTTAATTAAAAGATTTTTATGTTTATTGATCTCTTATTCATTTGAACTAATCCACCACTGGTCTTGTGTTCGTTTAATATCAGTGTTCAATTACATTATAATTACAGTCAATTCCAATCATAGATTTCATTCGTAATTATTAATGTCTTTTTTTTTTTTTTAATACTTTACGATATTACTGGGTATTGAACTGCTGTCTTTGTCTTATTTTTTTTTTTTTGTCTAATGACAGGTGCAAACCAGTATGCCTAGCCAACTTTTGTCACAAATTTGTCTATCGATTCGTTAGAACATTTTGATCAAGTTCAAGATCGCCCATTTAGGCCAAAATCAACAAAGAATATATAAAAAAAAATACATAAACCATGCAAAATGATTCGCCAAAAATTGGGTTCTAAAAAATTATAACTTTCGTAAGGGTGAATAACAAATGAATTTCTAACTAAACTAAACGTTATCATCTACATTCTCTCGTCCTTATCACTGTCTCAACATCTGAAAAACAATGGTCGAAATACTCTGGTGCACTATGCACATAGATTATTAGCTAGTGCAAGTAAATTCAAAATATAATGTGCACGCTGTGCATGTAGAAATTAACACAACATTTTCTCATTATATTCACTAAGCCTAAATTAAGTTCAACCAACATTGTAAGACTACTCAAAAAAAGCAAATTCTTTCGTGATCGCATCAATAGAGAACCCGTAAATTTTGCTTAAACTTTAAAAGTGGTGCATTTCACAACAAGTTAGTGCAGGTAAATTTCAAATTCAACATGCACACTATGCATGCAGGGAAAAAATTCTATTTCAATCCCTGGAAAAAAGAAATGATTAGCGTCAGGTCGCTATGATGGAGAATCCAAACCTTCTCGATATTTGGAAGATGAGCCAGGGTCATCTGTCTGTATTATCATGGACAGTGTTCAAGAGACAACAGTTTGTGACATCCATTATACACTATAGCTTCGTCTCAGATTTATTCAAGCGACTGTGACATGTTTTTTATCAATTATTTGAGGCGATGATTGAATTCTCTCACTTCAGCAGATTTTGATGCGAAGAAATTGTTTGAATGTCAATCTCAAAATTACCATGAATATCAGCTACATGACTTTTGAACTTGGATTAGGCCGCAAATCGGTCAGGACTGTTTTAATGACGTGAATCCCGAACGTACTCGAGGAATACTGATCATTTGGGAAACGGCAGAAAAATAATGAGCATGTTCGAAACATTGTCATTGATGCAGTTCCAGGGTTTGACAGGCGAGTACGTTCGTGAAATCAACCAGTAGTAAATGTGTGGGATCTCAATTTCAAGTCGCGCTACTTTCAGACATTATTTATGTGTTGTGCAACTCATCTTCTGTTAGTATAGTAGGCTGGAAAATAAATCTTGCTTCGTTAGTTGCATTTACGTAGTAATACAACTTTATTTTCATCACTGTCCCACCTAGCTCTTTTCGGGATTGCCGTTTATAAGCAACCCAACAGTTTCATGTTTGTTGTCTTTCTATGAAGGACTTTTGTGAGCTGAATAATAATTAGCATCGCACTCATCCAGCCGAATAGCTGCATCTACTATCGAAATTTTGGTTTCTTTGCATAAAAGTTATAGGAAGCTCGGCCCATGAGTGAAATTAGCGTCCATTACCAAGTAGTGCTTGTATTGTAAAGGGAACTTAAAAACTGCCAATTGATGTTAGTCGATAAGATGTTGACGTTGGATGGCCTCAAGTAAAATGTTATTATACAAAGCATTTTAAAGCTGTTTTATGTCCTTTTTTGTTCCCCTTTGGGATTTTAATTTCATCGAGTAACTTCCTGGTAATTTGTTTATTTAAAATTATTCCGGCACTGCCTTCCTCTGATGACCTATTCATAGTTCTCCTTCATAGCTATTGTTTGTTTCCCCCACCCCCCACCCCCCACCCATAAGTTTTGAAAACTGCAGTAAAAATCTTTGTACCTGTCTGTTATGTGCCCCACTGTGTCCACAGAACAAAATGTCCCAATTTCTTTGAAAAATGATCTCTTTAATGAGATCATATGTCGTTCCCACCAAGCACAATGCATAATAATAATAATAATTCTTGCCCGTTATTGTGAAAAGTAGGCACAGGCTAATTGATTGAAAATTAATATTGAATGCTGTGAACACAATATTTTTGGTTGTCATGGCTCCGTGTACAAGAACAATTCTTGAGTATATATTTTCTAAGCGAAATATAAAAATTGAATTAACTTATTTCAATGACTGCATTCACGGAGAGGAAATGAGAGCGTTTTATGCTGCTATCTGTGTTTAATGAATGAACCGTGTTGCCAAGGGGTGAACACCGACAAAAGCAGAAACCTACAGTTTTAATTGTTCAACCAGGCTCGCTTGCACTGTTCGATAAAAAATGGAATGTGAATCATTTATATATTCTAGGCGGGTGAGATGGCTTCATTCAAAAATAGAAAAGGCTCAAGATTTGAAATAGCTTATTGGAATATTAGTATATCTTGCCACCATTATACATTTGCATAAAAAAAAATTAGACAACCTGTCTATTTTACTTGAATTTTACTGCAATTGTACGGGGAGACGCATCCGAGAATGATCACAAGCATTCAGATTGATGTACTCTTTTGCCGTAACTAAGTAATCTATAACTGAATGAGTTCACATTGCGGTAGTCGAGACAATTATCTGGATTAACCCCTTCCTTTTTAAAAAAAAAAAAAAAAAAAAAAAAAAAAAATTGAACAATTAAAGTATTTAGTTTATGTAAAGTTCATTTACATCCGAATATTTGTTTGCATTCGCACATCAATGCTTTAGAATAATAGCCTTTTTTAAGTTTGGTGGTCGTTGACCGATCGAGGCTCCTTGATCTGTTGCCTGGATATATGTAAAGAAAACTCAATGAAGGAGAAATCGTATCCCAGTAGGGACAACACAACTCTCAGTTGAAAAGTTCACAATCTAGAGTACAATGTCCTGGAGGTACTGTTTTATTCGTTGTGCAAGTATCAGAGAACGGAGAATGGCATTCAGTGTCCCGGAGGTACCATTTCATTCATCGCTTGGTATCGGAGACGTAAAATAGGTATCTTTTCTCTGAATGTGCGGTTGTCCGAAAGATATTTGGGACATGCATGTAGAACCATCTTTGATCATTTTGAATTTGTCCCAATAAAAAAATACTGATAAATGTATTTTCATATTTTTGTAATTATCAATGTGCCAGTTCTATTCAGAACAGATTGACACAATTATTCACTGGCCAAAAAAGTAATTTTTTTTTATAATGTTGAAAGTTGACTTTGACATTTAAAGGATAATTTGCACTGATCACAATAAATTGTGCCAGCTTGTCTATTAGTTGCTTCAAATTTTTCTGTGGATTATTATTTTCTTTCACCATTAAATTCATTACAAAGGTGATATTAAAAAAAGAATTTTTAAAATTATATTCACAGTATCTATGCTAAGAATGAAATCGATTTAGCCACTGTGGGTAATACTGAATTGTTCTATTTCGCCGGTGTGGCTAATACTACGTTGTAGTAATTGCGGCAAAGTCTGATAATATCACATTAGCCAATGACAGATCATATTTTTATTTTTTTTTGATAGCATATTTAAATATGCTAGAGCTATTAAACACTATGTGTGCTGTTATTAAATGATGATCCTTTTCCTTGAAATCATTTGTATCCTGGTGGTTGGTAAAGTGACATAATTGTGTTTGTAGCTATATCTAAAATTAATTTGCCATAGCGGGAGATCCGGATATTAAAAATGACTAAAAATGTCATCACTGAAAAACAAGATGAAAATGAGACGTTTGAAAAAGTTGTTTTTATATTATTTAGGATAAGGTCAAGGTTCAAAGGTCATGTGAATTATTACTATGCAATGTTTCGATCGTTGCCGATATTTGTTGCTGTTAGCCCTTTAATGTAATATTCCATAAATGTCAACTGACATTGACATGGACACGTCAAATTAACCGATTCATGCTGAGATAGCTTTTATTGGTTGTCTAAGTAATAAAACTAAATCGCTGTGGCTGGTCAAGGTGATTACCAGTATGGGGTTAAATAAAAGCATGCCATTGAATCTTTCTACATATTGCTTTAAATTCGGGAAATATTTGTTTTTCAGTCATCACTTATATTTTATAAAGTTAAACAGATGACACGTATGACTCGTGAGTAATGCACTACTTTATGCTACTGATGAAAGATTAAATACCTTGTGTTATCACATTTGATTCAAGACACTTGTATTTCCTGTGACAGTTTAATTGGAACCCCCTGAGATTTGATCACTCATTTTCAGTCATAGTGCAGGAAGAACAACAACATACGAAACTGAAATCCATCTCTGTCCCTGGACACCTCGGTATCCGATCCAACACACCCCGTTCTCCCTCCCTTGGCACAATCGACATGATAATACCCACCTTTTTACAAAAAGATGAATGTCATATTTTCTTCTTTCTCCTCGTTTTCCAGGTTATTCACGTTACCTTGGTAATGCTGTGTACTCACCGTATTTGAGTCCAATGGTGTCAGAGACGCCTGGGTCGATGTATGCGCCTAGCATGAGACCTGCTCAGCAACCACTGGCTGCTTATCATAAATTATACGAAGGTAGACATTTTTGTTTTTACCCATAGTGTGTTAAATTTCTTACTGCCACCACAAGAGGGCTCCCTTTTTTTCTGGGAAATCCATGTTTTAGAACTGAACATTCATTTCGAGGGTTGGCCTCTTGAAGCAGATGGTTTTTTTTTTAGAAATGGATTCCCAAATTCAAACACAGTTTAATAACTAGAAACTTGTCATGGAAAAAGGCGATGTGATTTTGTAGAAACTTGGTTATGAAAGTGTTTCCCTGGCAATTGAAAATAACATTAATCATTTTTTCTATATGCTTTATCAATTGTGCTGTTTACCACAAGCCTTCAGTTAATATTATACATATAGTGCAATACTCAATGCCAAAGTAAAAATTAAAATAAAGCTGTAGTGTCTCCAGAAAAATGCGTACAAATTTAAAAAATAAGTCAACAAAATGTTGGAAGAAAAAAAAAAATCGCAAACTTTATTATCAGTAACCAAAATAATCTAATATCCTGAATTTTTAATTTTTTTTTTTTTTTTTTACTGTTACTAATGTATTTGTTGTGTTATAACTACATCCTTATTTGAGGCACATACAAGTCCAACAAAATTGTTTGTATTTTAGTGGTACATCAATTAGTCCATTAATTCTCACATTTGTTTGGAATAAATGCATTTCTAGTTAAGCAAAATTTCATTCCTGGAAATGTCTGGAAATTGTTTTCTTCAGAATGTAATATAGCTGACCTAATTCTGGAGACCCTGAAGTCAATTTCAGAGAACTTCTACTATTAATCTATTTTTCATTCATCATCTTCGCTTTTTCTCTATTTTTGCCTTGAGTGTATTCTTGAAGATTGTCTTTTATCTTTGCAGCTGACAGTCACATGCAGTTGTCGATGCCAACACCACCCCATGGTGCTGGGATTGTTAGCTTGCCAAGCTCCATGGCAACGCACTCAACATTATCTTCTCAAAAAGAGCGGGAAATCAGCAATGTGAAGTCCTCATCACAGCAGTCTCCAGCATCAACAAAAACTAAAGACTCCAGAGAAAAAGACTCTGGAAAAACGGTGTCAAATGGGAAAGACAAATCCTGCGGCTCAAAATCGTCAGAAAATGTACAAAAGCAAGAAGCGAAGCGAACTGATTCTAATAATGCCCATAACTCTGGCAGCAAAACTGAAAGGAAAAATGATAAAAAGCTGGCAACTAATAGTGAAATAATTGGAACAGGAACAGCATCAACTGTAACATCACCTGTTTCCATGGCAGCTTCTTCTTTGTCGCCTTCTTTGAATTCATCAGCTGGAGGAGGACTTCCAGACACAATTGTATCAAAATTGAATAGTGTCCCTAAAGACGAAAAAATGAATGAAATATCATCTCCGGCTCTGCAGCACCCTCTCGTCTTGCCACATCCAGCATTAGAGGCTGACGGTAGACCAGTAAAAGCATCTAAGAAAAAAGATGCAAGTGGGAGTGAACGTAAAAGGAAATCTAGCAAAAAGAAACACGATACTCCCAGTGAGATTGTGTCACAGACAATGGCCACTGTTGCCAAGACATCAAATTTAGTTACCGTGGCACAAAGTGCAGTAACTATGACATCCAGTGCAATAACTTTACCATCATCATCATCATCATCATCTATTTCCACGTTAACATCTTCTGCTACAAATGTTGTAAGCGAGGCAACAGTCTCTACAAAAACGCACTCTGATTCTGTGGTAACGACCAGTGTGGTATCAACATCGACGAAACACAGCACATCACCGAGTGGTCACTGCCATGGTAACTCGCTAGTATCAGGTCAGACTGTTGTGCAAGTGTCCACGCCAGCTTCTCTGACAATTACATCACATGGTATGCAAATATTTATTAAAATTTAAGCATTGCAAAAAAAGCACTATTGTGGATAAAGCATGATTATGCAATTATGCGTAGATTTCAGCATGTAGACTGCTTGTATTCACCAATTTCTTGTGATTGAGTAGGGCACTAATTTGAGGTCATAGGTCAAAACTGGGAGACACTCAAGTCTGAATTCAGGAACATTTGAGATTTATGCAGTACATGTTAAAATATTACTACTGATAAATTAGAATATTGTACTGCTTTTAGTGTAGAATTCAGTATGGTTGATATATTTCATTTTTTTTATCTTTCTTTTTAATACTATTGGTATATGTTGATGAATTTATTGGATTATGATTTATTATGAAATAAAAAAAAGTGTTTTTCATGTTGCACACAACTTAGTATGCTTTTAATGAAACAATGTTATTTTTGTAATCAAGTCGAATAATGTACACATAATTATTAACATTATTTTTAGTTGCGATAAATCATAATCAAATTTGGTCCTCAAAAAACCTTTAAAAAATGTTTTTGTCCATAATGCATCTTTAGTATTGTGTAATTGAATACTTGGAAGTTTAAAAATTACAAAAAAATGAAATTATTTACCTGTCTCTTGTTTAACAAATGCTTAATATCTATTAGGTTTGAAACTTTGAATTGCCAGAATTGTGCATCATTATGCATTTTTCTAAATTCTAATTCTGGAAATGAATTTCTTATTGTCTTTAACTTTTGTTATTTATTGTTCTAGGTGCCATACTAGCAACCAGCAGCATGCCCTCGCTGTCCTCGACAACTAGCAGTGGTTATGTCTGTCCTTTCTATCCAGGGTATGTCTCACATACACATCCTGGGCATGACAGGGAGAAGGACGGACACAAGGTTCATGCCACCACCTTTATGCCTGAAGTTGGGACTGTTGCTAGCGATCTCACGGTGTCGAGCGTATCTTATTCCTCAAACAAAAGCAAAGAATGTGATAAATTGACAAATTCTGATTCTAAAATTATAAAAGAGGAGAGGACTAGTAAGGAATCCACAAATGTGCCTGTTTCTATAGCAACACCTATGAAAAATAGAACTATTGAAAATGCAGTTGGAAAAATTGTAGAAAATGCGTTAACGCCACTACAGTATTTGCCGTCAGGAAACCATGGCAACCAGAAGTCCGGGAGGAGTAGCGAATCTGTGAAAAGCTTGAAATCATCAAAAAGCGATAGGCATGAAAAGCAGAAGAAGAGTTCGCGAGGGAGCAACGAGCATGGGAAGAGTAAATCTGATGGAGTTGTAAAGTTGGATATTCCAAGTATGCGACAGAATGAACGAGTTTTAGAATATCGAGATAGTCGGACAGACGGACATCATATACTGCAACAGCCCCCTTCACTGCCGCATTCTGAGTTGACTCCTAGTCAGGACGTGCCGAAGGAAGCTGTGAAAATACAAGACAGTTCACAATTTCGGGATATCATCCATGATCACAGCCAACAGGGTCGGAATGTGACGTTAGTGGACAATACGCCTTCAGTTTCGATAGGGGAAAGGACACAGAATGTGGGCCACTCATCGTACATGGATTTAGAAACGCAACGACGTATGATGGAATGGAACCAGCATGTCGCTGCTCAACACGTGGCCTCGCAACATGGATACTATTATCATCTACCTGAACATAGATACACTGAATCAGATTCAATAAAAGCCGACGGCAGGCAACAATCGATTAGGGACGCTTCTGAGGCGGACAGTGGTGATAGTCGTAAAAATGGACAGAAATCAAATGAGGAAAATTTGCAACATTGTAGGAATGTGAAAACAGTTGTAGCAAACAGGACTAAAGTATTACAAGAAGATCCAGAGCAACATTCTGGTAGTCATAGGAACAAAGCCAATCACAGCAAGCCAAATAACAATAAAATAAGTAAGCATTGCGATAATAGTAAAAGTAGCTCTCGGAGTAGTAATACAAATGAGAAAGGTCAGTCAATGACCAGTGCACAAGCTTCTTTCATGCCTCCTCCACCATCAGAATATAGTCCTATGAATTTTTATCCCGGTAACAAAGTTGGGGATGGACGTTATCCTCCTGTAGGTATCGCCGTGGCACAACAGAGGCATGAGCGGGAAGGTGAGGCTGCACAGATGTCGCTGTCATCATCTATCCCAACACAATCGCCAAAACTGTCCACACAGAAACGACCGTCGCCGTCAACCACTCCGTCACAAAGGCCACAGCAGCCTTCACCAGTGTCGCTACCATCCTCACAACAGCATAGTCGACCGTCCAGCGGAGCCTCAAATAAAGGTAAATATTAAAACAGTATTTTTGAATGTTTCGATATTTTGCTCTTTTTAAATGAAAATAAAATTGCTATTTCTTATTCTTCAATGACGTCCATATTAAATATTATAAATCACTCAAAACATAGGAAATTTTGAAATTGCGGACGAGTCTTTGTAATATTTAACACTGCAATATACTTAGCTCGAAATAAGTGTAACTGATGTTGGTGAATGGCATTGGCTCGAATTTTGTGGGCGGCACTAATGTGTAAACCAATCATAAATCTGTATAATAAGAAAATATTAACATATCGTTAAATTCTCAAGTCGTCAACTCAGTCATTAATAGTTGTTTATAGGTTGTGCACGTTATATTCCTGGTTGTCTATTTGATGTTTTGTTTGCTAAATCTTCACACATGGACGATTTATATTCGTAATTGTGTTATACATTCACTGCTGTTGCATATATCCAATATGACGCTATGTAGTGACCTAAACGTTAATGACCTGAACTTGATTGAAGCTGTTTTACAACAGCTTGACTTAAAAGGAAATAATCTTCATTGTTTAGGGTCCATTGTAAACCCTACATGTGTCTTAAATAATTAAATATGTAAAAAAAAAAAATGGACGGACAGCCTCTGTTATTGTTCCCAAAGGATTCTCAATTTTATGCAAATTCCACGATCAACAATATTCATTCTTGCTACTCATTAGCATTCGGAGGATTATGAATGAATATTTCGTAATTTGCATTTTCTTGAATGCATCTGTAGCGATAAGTTTCTAAATCGATTCTATTTTAATTTTATAATTTTAATTTTTATAATGATAGAGTGCACATCAACGATGACACCCTCTGTCAGACCGGACAACTCGGATGAATCTGACAAGGACGAAAACAGACACTCGTCACCTGAAAAATCGCATCACTCTTCTGAAAAATCTCATCAAACATCAGACCGATCACGCCCACCGTCAGAAAGATCACATCCTGCCTCATCAGAGAGATCGCACACATCGGAAAGACTACCAGCGTCATCTGAGCGGCCACATGGTCATCTTCCACATCACAGTATTGATCATGATAATGAAAGGGAACAGTTTCTACGGTAACCAAATCTTTTCAGCTCCACATAGGTTACATTTCAATATTTCAATATATTTGAATTTTGCAAATTTTATTTTGTGTGTTTATGCCTTTAATTTCATATTTTATAATTTTTGAATTCATTAACTATGGATATAACTACAATTGTATCTTCTATTATTGTTATTACAGAGAGCAAAGGGATATGTACATGAAACCACCTTCAGCAAGTCACATGTTAGGAGAATTGAGTTCAAATCTCATTGTCACGGGTGAGTGGGTCGTCATATGTATGTCTTCAGATAATACTTTTCAGCCCCAAACACGTTACGTAACAAGTATTTCGGTATTGAGTAGTCTTTTTCGTAGATACTCAGTGACTGAATGGAATTCGCATTGCATTGTGCACCTCGGCAATTCTTTGCAGTGGTCCCCAGTTTAAATCACACATATGGTACAGTACTTTCTATGTAGATTTTTTTTAAGATGAATTTTTTTTTGATATTTGATAAATTTTTTTCAAATCAGGAGGTGGTACGTTACCCCCTGGAGTTCACCAGTGGGAAGGAACAGAAGCTGCAGCTGCAGCCGCGCAGCAAGCCCATCTTGCCGCGACAGCAGCACACTGGCTTCCTAGAGCTGCTGCAACGAATGGTACGCCGTTATGGTTAACGCATCCACCTTACGGGCATCCTTCACTTCATCATGGTAGTATGGATGGAGCCAGCACGCCGCATGGACACGTACAACTCCCCCACACTGGTTTGCTGGCGAGAGATCCGGCCACTGGTCAGATTGTCATCATTCCCTCAGAGCACGCTGGTCTTGGTAAGCATCTCTGTTCGAATACTGTAAAATACTTTATTTTTGCTTGGAATTAATTTTCGCTATTTTCGCTGAAGTAATGGTTCAGTGAAAATAAAATCCAGCGAATATACCTTTTTTCCTATATTTTACGTTCAACTCGCCAAAAATCAGTGAAAATAAATTCCATACAAAACACTCAAAACATCTTTTCAGCGAAAATTTATTCAAGCTAAAATAAAGTATTTCACAGTAGTTCACTCGAGAGTATAGCACACTACTGCTTTTAGGTTGAATATCACTCATCAATATAAAACATAGTCTAATTATTTGCAATTAAGGTAGCGAGACTATTATTTGTGTTGAAAATTACGATTTTCACATTTATTTATTAATTGATGAAATGCACCATAAGCTTTCATATGATAAAGTCAATATAACATAGAATGTCATGTAAGTTGGTTAAAATGTAGATTTTCTGAAGGAAAGCAAGGCAGCCTCAGTAGTGTTTTCCAAAATCAACAACACAGGTTTAATCTGTGTGCCTATAAGTTTCAAAGATAAATTCAAGACAAAGCAATGTTAGGATGTGTTATCAGTAGCTATCTGACACACAATGAGTGTTTCCAAACATTTGAGTGGTTTGTCTCCGCCCCTGTTTGTTTCACAGATTAGTCATTTGCATATGAATGTGTCAGACGCAAGGTCACACAGCCACTGAAAAAATCATTGATTTT